CATGTAGAAAAAAAAAAATCCAGCTGTAAGTAATTGTCATTTTGTATGTTATATATATATTTGCTCGGCTGTCTCTACTTATGTTTCCTGTATACTACATATGTTTTTCTGTTTTGCCCTCACTAATGTTCTCCCGGGAAAGAACCAAGCTGTAAGCTCCTTCATGTAGAATGCCAAGAGAGCACGGATATTTGAACAATGCTTTTGACACTGCTAATGAAGATCAATAGTTCAAGCACTAATTAGTGCAACTAATGTTCTTGGTGTGATTGGAAGTATGCCTGAAAACAGTTGAAAAATTCCTACTTGTAACATCTTTCTCATGGGAATTATACCTGAGGCTGTGAGGTTCAATTCCGCAGTCATTTCTTTACCTATTAAGCACCAGATATTACTGCAAAAATCGGCAGGGTCAGTCATCAGGTTCATAGCCAAATGCAGGCGGAATTAAAGCTAAGCCTAACTGATCAATATTTAACATCTGGTCATTCCCCAGTCCTTCTAGAAGAAAGACAGATGCTAACAAAAGGCTTTTTAGCTCTATTTTTCACATGGATTAAAAAACCAAGGCGAGTTTTCACTTTCTAAGAGAGTAGAAAGAATCTTAGGAGGAGTTTCACCCCATTTTAAAGATAGAGAAGCAGGCTGAGTCAGACCAGCTGTCTCTGATGTGTATCCTGAAGGGAATGTTTTCTATTAATATCTCCAAGAACCTAGCTGATCTTCCTCAGAATGGCCCAGTCAGGAGTTTATACAAAGAGTACACATTAGGGCCATATCAGGACAGCAGCTTAACCAAGCATGGATGTCAGGGAGGCAGAAGTAGCTTCATTTCCTTGCAACCCTCCTAGGTAGTGACTAGAACTTCTTTTGAAAGACAAGCGTATGCTCAGAGGACGGAGAAAAGCAAGTGTTACAGTTCCTGACCTATGAGGGTTTACTGTACAACCTGAATGCCAGGTTAACGTGCCATATATTCTAGGGATGCCAACAATAACAGAACATTCTCCTCACTGTCATGTGTGTGTGTGTGTGTGTGTGTGTAGCCACCCACAAAACAAAAGATGGTATTTTCTATGACTCCATTTCTAGGAATGGATATAGATACTGTTGTTGGGTAGAGAGGCTATCAGGCCCTGTGCTGGCATGGAGCAGGGTCTCACAAGATCTACACTATATCACTCAGTTACAACAGATGTAGGTCATTTCAGATCACAAACAAGGAAGTCTAAGTTGGTTTTTTTTTTTTTTTTTTCTAAATTTCTAAAGGAGTCTCTACAAACTCCATTACTACTGCATCCATTGACAGATCTCCCTGTCAGATACAAAGGCAGGGAAATGGTGCCAGAGCATGTGGCACCTAAAAGCAGAAGCTGCCAGCACCCTGCTGGGGACAGAAGAGAAGCTACAGGCCTGAATATGGGGCCGTCTTAGTCAATTTGTGTTGCTATAAAGGAATATCTGAGGCTGGGTAGTTTATAAAGAAAAGGACTTTATTTGGCTCATGGTTCTACAGGCTGTACAGGAAGCATGGTGATAATATCTGCTTCTGACAAGGGCCTCAGGAAGCTTCCACTCATGGGGGTTGGTGAAGGGGAGCCACACATGCAGATCACAAGTTGGGAGAGGTGGCAGAGAGTGTAGAGGAGGTGCCAGGCTCTTTTCAACAACCAGTTATCACAGGAACTAACAGCAATAACTCACTCTTGCAAGAATGGCACCAAGCCATTCATGAGGGATCCACCCCCATGACTCGAACACCTCCTACCAGGCCCCACCTCCAACACTGGGGAGTAAATTTCAACATGAGACTTGGAGGGGACAAACAAACCATATCCAAACTATAGTGGAGGCATAGGTCTCCAGATCTGGGATCCAAACTCTCCTTTGGGGGATTTCACTTAGCCCCTTCCATTTTTTTTTTCCAAATAAGGGATTATTCGCCCCATTTTGCTAATGCAGGAAATATAGGACCCAGACTTAGCCACATCCTAGTGTTTGTGACTCAACCAATGCTCCATGCTCATGGGGAAGCTGCTAAAATGGGAGCCTGTACAAACAGGAGTTGTCCTGTTCATTCTCGCAGCACCATCCATTCTATCTCTGGAGTGCCCAACCTGGTAGAGAATCCTCCCCCCTCATACAACCACAAAATAAGAATCAAAATGGAATATTTCCAACTCCTGTCTCATCTTCCTCATACCTTTTCCAGTCCAAGCTGAATTCCCATCTCTGTTTTCCTAGATGGTAGATTCTCAATCTTCCCCCTCGCCTTCTTCCAGTATGTTTTGTGAAATAAGATGGAATAGCTTAGGATCTTGTTAGTGGTGCAATGCTGGTAGGAGAAGAGGTCCATTCCTTCATAAAAGGTGAGGACAAAAGAAAGCCAAAATCAAAAGTCTAGGAATTAGAATTCTAGGCCTGTGTGTTCTGATATGGTAGCCACTAGCCCCGTGCGGTTACTGAGCACTTGAGATGTGCCACATGCAACTGAAGGGCTGGATTCTTTATTTCATTTAATTTTAATTAACATAAATTTAAAAATTGATCATTTGATTCTATTGTTGGAAAGCGTAATTATGTATGTGGCAACGTAGGCTTGTAAATCTATTTCCTCAACCATAAATGTTATGAAATCTAAATACACATTGAATATTTCCAATGAAAATGTAGTGTCTGAATGTAGATGTGCAATACACATAAAATATAACCAGAGTTGGAAGACTTAGTAGGAAAAAATGTAAAATATCTTATCGTTGATTTTTCATATTGACACACGTTGAAATGATATTTTAGATATACTGCATTAAATAAAATATATCATTACAATTACTTCCACCTGTTTCTTTATATTCATTTTTAAACGTGGCTCACGGAAAATTTTTAACGACATATTATATTTCCATCGGTTCTCCACTGTAGACATTTAATGTTACTGGGGATACTACTAGAGAGGGAATGCCCTAGCCCAGAGCTTCATTCATCACTCACCCTCTCCTGCTGCTAAAAAAGTCACTCTAGGCCGTTTTCCAACCCTCTCTTTCCTCATTGCTGTTTCAATGTTATTAACTTTGGTGAATACTGACTTCCCCTCACCCTTACCCTCTTCCAGCATTCCTCCCCTCCTCGGGCCTACTCCACTCTTCTTTCTTACTTCTGGCTTTTGAAAATCCATCTTCTACTATGAATAAGCTTCCTCTTCACTCCCCATTCCCCAGGCTCTTTCCTTCACACCACCTTCTCTGAGTTTTTCTGACCATCCCTGTCTGTTTAAACGGCTCCCTCAGAGGCCAAAGGGAGCGGCGTCGGGCCCTGTGCTCATTCAGGCCTCCCTCCCACTGTCGCTGCTTGACCTCCACTCCCGCAGGCTCTTGCGGGGTGGATTTTACCTCATTCCCACCTTTTCTTTGTTTCCCGCGCCCTTTCTCAGTGTCCCTGTACCTCCGAATGGATTTCTAGGAAACAGACTCTGCACAGAGATGGAGGTGGTATGTGGGAGGTCTCCTGGGAGGTACTCTTGGAAACAACACCTTGAGAGAGTGAGGGAAACATGATTCGGCAGAGAATGAACTTGAACTGTGCTGCTTTCCACAGAGGCCTCGGCGGATCCTTTGGGAAGTTATGGAGCTGGGGTGGCCCTTCAGGGCCCTCCATAACGGAAGCAAAGAGGTGAACCTTTGTATCTCCCCATCAACCAATTGGATCCGAAATACAGATGCACCCCCAAGGAGTGGCAACCTGGTTTATAAAACCCACCACTCAAATAGTTATCTTGAACTAACCCAGAGATCTCCTAATTTCTAAATCTAAACCAGTTTTTTTGGGCGCCCTCCTCCTTGGTGTCCCTGCAGTCCGGGCCCCCACTGAACGTCCCTCTTCTCCTGAGTCCTGTCACCCTGCACAGTCCTGACCCTCCCTCATGGTTTCTCCTGATGGTTTCCGTTCCTCTCACGGGCTCCTTCTAGGTAGACCTAGGTTCTGTCTTCAGCCCTGTTCTCTCTACCTTTTCTACCCTCTCCCTCCACCTCCAACTTCTCTCCAGATGATTCCAAAATTCACAGCCTCTCCTGTGAACTCCAGAATCACCTTTCCAATTGCATTTGCTGGATATCCGCCCCTGGAAGAAGGTGGCCTGCTTCTCCAATCCAACTTGCCCCACACTAAACCCAGTCACATCACTCCAGGTGCTCCTCCAGACTTCCACAATGTTACAGCCCCAGTGTGCGCCTCCTGCACCACACACTCTGTAGACTCTCCTTTGCTGCAGCTTCCGCATTCATCCCCCATCTCACCGGACTACTGGAATCATCTCCTTCCGCGTGGCCCCTCTGCGAAGCCCTTCTCAGCAGTCAGCTGGGGTATTTAGAACGCTGGTGCTCCCGGTGCAGTGGCTTTGTCAGCGTTCCCTGCCTTCAGTGGCTTCCCTGGTCTAGCAACCTGGTAAATGGGTAATCGTCCTCACTGCAGCTAAGTTTCAAAAGAACACGGTTGGATAAGCACAAGGCCCTGGTTACTTTGGGAAATACATAATCCATGCCCCACTGTTAGGGCCGGTCCCGTTAGGGCCAGCTTTGCACCTTCACAAGGGCTCAGCAGGAACAGATGGACTCTACTCTCTGCTCTTCCATTTTGCTTCTGATTAGAGAGACCTTGATTCTCCCTGGGGCCCAGGAAATGTAAAGCTGATGCTCCACAGGACTCTGACAGGGACAGGGCAGTGATGGGGGGTGGTGAGGAAGGGGGATGGATAGGCTCTCTCTTATCAGACAAGCTTGTCCCTAGAGTCCCTGGAAACCCCCAAAGGCCGACCTCTCCCAGGGGCCGACAAACGTAGAGGGCAGGGGGACATAAGCGGGGAGCTGCGGAGGGCGGGAGTTTGAAAGTCGCTCCACCGCCCCCTAGTCGATCCTTTTGCCCCGCCCCCCGCAGGGAACCCCCCCGGCAACTGCACAGCTGCCTCGGACTCTGACTTAATTCCCTCCGCGTGCTCTGAATCGCAGAGAGGCAAACTCCCAAACAAAGAGCCGGCAGCTAGCGTGCGGGGCTCCTGGGCGCGTCCTGCCGGCTGGGCTGGGAGAGCCGGCGCCGGGGCGTCGCGGCGGAGCGCAGGGCGGGGCGGTGAGGGGGAGACGCTAGGGCCGGCAGGAAGCCTCTGTGGGCGCGGGGGCGCGGGCAGTGCTGCCCGCAAGCTGACCTTCCCGGGCTGGGAGGGAAGAGCGTTGGCTGCGGGCGGTGGGCGGCTGGGCGGCCTCGGGAGCCGCCGCTCTCCGCCTCTCTAGGCGCAGCTCCCGTCGCCGCGTCCGGAGCCCCTGACCGGGTAAGTGCAGAAGCGCGCCTGGGAAGTGGGGGCGCCAAGGTAGAGGCTGGGGGTCTGGGAGAGGCGCCCCCACCTTCGCTGCCAGCCCCGCCCGCAGTCCTGAGCTAGACTGTTCCAAGCTTCCCCCGGGCAGGCAGAGGGAAGCCGGCTGGCGATGAGGAGTGGAGGAGGCAAGAATGCCTGGGACACTCGCGGGGCATGTGAGCAGGTATTGGTGTCTGCACGGAACACGCAGCACGGCGTCCGTAACTATGCACCTGAGTCTGCCTTTCTGCAATTGTGCCTTGGGAGAGCACTCTGGGCCTCTGAGGGCCTCGTGCTGTCCAGCGTGCCCGGGGCATGTCTGTTCCTCTTGAAAATGTCATTCTTTGTCCACCCTGAGTTCGAGTAGCTGCCTCTTGTGCGTACACCAAGATGACAGACCCAGAGTCGCCTTTGCAAGACACAGACAGGCCTTGGCAGACAGGCCATGCAACGCAGGGGTTGCTAAGTGCTGGCAGCTGCTGTATCTGGTACACATTGCTTTCAGAGGGCCTGTGCAGGGATGTCCCCGTGTTCTGGGCCCGTCTGTGTATTTGTGACAACATGGCTGTGTAGGCCCTGTCACTTGTGTTTTCATGCCCGTCCTTGCACGTGCAGTTGGGCGACTCCATGTGGAAAGAAGGCATGGAAGGTTCTGGGGTGTATCCTTTTCACCAGCGTTATGTGCAGTGTGCACATGTGTGAACGGGCTGGAAAGTATGAAAGGGAGGCAGCTCAGTTGGGGTTGGTGGGACAGCATCTTAATTTGAGTCTAAGCTGCTGTGTGTGCAGGAGGAATAAGTGTTCCAGAGGTTTCCAGTTCCTGGCAAGTATTGTGAGGTGAGGGTGAGGGTGGGGGTTGAGGAGAAGAGGCAGCTTATGGAAAAACTCCTAAGTGCACTGTGGAGCATAGGGTGTGTGCAGGAGAGCGTGAAGAAGAGAATGAGGGTGGTGTTAGGCAAAAGTGGATGGTCTGTGTTCGATTTGTGGGCAGCTGGATTGTAGTGGAAAGCAGCAGTTAGAGGCTGGAGACAGGTTTGAATCAGAACTTAATGGTTGTCAAGTGTCAGTAGCATTGTTCCCTGGACAGATAGGTCATCTGGGGCTCAGTTGCTTTGTGCGCAAAATGGGACTAATAACCGCTGGCCCCACCTGTCTCCCAAGGGACTGGAGGCTCCAATGAATGCCTGGAAATGCTTTAAGACTCCTAGGGTGAGGGGGCACTGCTGGCCCACAGGGGCCAAGTTGGTGGTCTGGCAAGTGCTTAGGTGGCCCAGAGCCGTTTGGTTTGTGGGTACAAGAGGGAGGCATTTGTGTGCTCCTTCCCACGATATTCAGCATAATAGAAATTTTACACCCACCTTTGGACTCGTGTGTAAAATATGTACAGGCCTGTGTGATTCCCCGTAGTTCTTGTGTGAGTGCCTGCTGCAGAACAAGAGGCAAACTGGCTTGGATGTCTTTAGGTCTCCCTAGAGCACCTTGACTTTCCAGAGAGCCCTCTTTCAGATGAGCCCAGGACGTTTATAACCACCAACTTGCTTTTCTCTTTATGCCACCAAATGAAGCGGTAAGGAGCACCCTTCACAGTTTGCAGCCAGGGAGATAGGAGATGAAGAAGCTTTCCCAGCTAAGGTCACAGGTCTGGAGTGTCCACCACTGAGTTCTGTCTCTTGGGTTACAGCGTCTTCAGACCCAAGGCCAACCCTGGACTGGGCTGAAGAAGGAGGGAGGCATCAAAAGTCATGCACAGACGGCACCGAATTCCAGGATGTAGTTGAGTGGTTTGTCCAGCCTCGGATGTCACCTGTCACTGAGACTTTTTTGCATGTGGTTGCTATTTAGTAGTGTTTGTAAAAGGAAAGATCCTTGGGTGGGAGATGCCAGCAACCCAGGTCAGGTCCTGGCTCAGCTCCCTGCCTGGGGAAGGTCACATCACCTCTCTGGTTCTGCTTCCTCTTTGGTCCAAGTCAGGGCATCTTTCCAGATTATCATTCTGATTTCAACTGTGTTTTGCTTCCTCAGAGAGACCTTTCTGATCCCCCATCCAAAGTAGCCACCTCCCAGCCATGATCACATCGTTGTTCCTTCCTAGCGCTTGCGACCTGTCTGAACTTAGCTTTGCCACATCCTACTACAATGTGAGCTCACCAAAAGCGGGGCTGCCTTTGTGCTGTTACCTGCTGGCTCCACCTGGAGCACAGTAGGTGCTCAAGAGATATTATTGTTTGTGAACGAGTGAGTGAATCCATTAGGAAGGGGCTGTGCATGTGTGTTTTTCAAATTGTACTCCTGGGAGCTTTGGAAGGGAAGAGCAGGCTCCATTGGCAGGGCCCCAGTTCCCTCACACCAGCAGCTCGGGGTCCATCTAAGTTACATGTCAGCTTCCAGATAGGATCTCCTTTGAAGTAAAGGCTCTCTCGCTAAAATAAAACTAAAAAACTGTTGCACCAGAAGACTTAGAGGGGTCGTTTCAACTCCAAGTAGAAATAATAGTACCGCAACTGGAAGAAATCTGCACTTGACCCTCAACGAGGATTATAGGCAGGATTTAGAGGTACAAAGTGGTTGTTCCACAAACCATTTCTGCTTAGCCATGGAATTCATCCTATGGCTATTTTTATACCACTGGTTTAATTTCCTGAATTTTGATCAGAGTTAATATGGAAATGATTTTGCTTACAACACAGCAGCAAGGGCTATGTGAGAACTCTAACCCATCCATATCTGAGACAGGCACTAGACGGAGGACACCAAACATCTGCAAGGTGGACAAGCTGTGCACAGATATTTGAGAGCTACCTATCTAGGGTGACTCTGTCTGTCATCATCCTCTATCGGGGGTATTCCCAGGCATACTTGCCCAGACGTGCCTCACCCCCAGTAGATGCCCACTCAGCATTGTTTTTCTTGAGTAGTTGCCAGTGCTGAGGAACTCTGGTCTCTGAGTGATTACTGAGCATAGAGGACAGCCACGTGACGAAACCTGGCTATATTTACACGTGATGGCCCTGACCTATATTTACAGCAGCCATGCCTCCTGGGCTTTCCAAGCTCTCCTCCATGTAAAACAGTCTCTTGTGTTGCCTTTTCCTAGAAATACACTTGGAAGTGGCAGCACAGCTGCTGTGTCCAACACCGTGCCTGGGTTCGGGGCACAGAATCTAGATTTACCACCCTTTTCTAAGCCCCATAGGAGGAGCATTAATGACCGTGCCCGTGATAGAGGAGGTGGCGGTGTTCAGTTTGGTTGGTTTAGGTGGGTTGTTGAGGAGGGAGACTGTGGAGAGCAGTGGAGAGAAGGGTCGGGAGTAGAGAACTACACCCTCTGTTCGTTCCTTTTGATGCTGTCTTTGCTTCCCTTTTGATGATGCCCTGCTCTGGCTGACTCTGGTGGGTTTCTGGGTTCAAAGGTTTATACTCGCAAGATGGCACTCCACAGGGTAGAGGAAATTGGGGAGGAGGCAGCAGATATACACTATACGTGTATGTTTTCCAAGTGCCTGCTGTGAGCTTTGAACTTCCAGGCCCTGAGACATGCATTAAGGACCTAGCCCCTGACCTCTGAGCACTCGTTGTTGAGGACATTAAACTCATTCCCAGGAAGGGATGAGAAAACAGCTGAGTGCAGACTAAGTGGCACTCACCCAAGCCCCAGCTGGAGCTCCGAGAAGGAAAGGTGTGCAGAGAGGGCAGGCAGAGGCAGCCCGCAGCAAGGGTGGCAGGAGAGCCCAGCTCTAGGGCCAGATGGTTCAGGCGCAGATCCTGGCTCTGCCCCTTCCTCTCCGTGTGAACTTCTGTGTGTTATGTTAAGCTTCAATTTCCTCATCTGTAAATCGAGGAAATGACCTCAACTCCTAGCAGGGTGCATGGATGCCTGCCTAAGCTGAGCTCAGAAGAGAGGTACAGAGCACCCAGGTGTCTGATGACCGCAATGAAGAAGTTTGAAAAAGGGCTCATAGCGAGGAGGGGCGTTGAAGGGTGGCAACGACTGTGGGACCTTGTCTAATGCTGATCTCCCCTGTAGTAGTCAGGGGGTCCGTGGCGTTGTGCTCGGTAGGCCCCAGGCCAGTCAAGCACTCCCTTTCTCCCTGGGCTGCTTTTCCAACTGGCCATGCGACTTCCACTCACAACTATGGAGAGGGAAGTAGCTGCGTCCCTCTCTCAGTGCCCTGCACAATGTACAAGCACTCGTACAAGCACATGGCCCTGCTTAGAGGCTTAAGGATTTTTGCTGTAAAATATCAAGAATTGAGGATGTTACAGAGGTTCAGGAAATGAGAATTGCTCTGATGGTTCCCTGGTCTGTTTTGAAAGGGAGTAGAGGACCCTCCTTGATGGTGGTATGGGATAAATCCCCCAGCGGTTCTCAGCCCTGTCCTGGCTTAGGCATTCTTTTTTTTTTTTTTTTTAATATGTACTTCGTGTTTTGAAAGGGTTTGTCAGCCAAACTTCAATTTAAATGAGAATGTATTTCTCCATCTTAAAAAGATTAATAATCAAAGACCCTATAACTGATAGTTTGATTCCTTTCTGCTTGATATATATCAGTTTAGGTCATTTGCTAGCAGATTCCAGTGTGTTTAAAAAGCCCAGCAGAAAAAAGGACAAAGGACAGAAGGAAACTGGTGTTGTCTGGTTTGTCTGAGGTCTGGCACAGTTAGCAAACATTTAATCACATAGCTGGTGTGGTAGCTTGACTGAAGCCTTTTTGTCAGGTAGAAATTCAAGTTTCTATGAGCATTCTTGAAATGCAGTAAAGAGATTTCTCTCCCAGTGCTGCCTTTTGTAGATAAGCACTAGGGTTTTGATAGTTGGAAACCACGGTCCTATGCTGTGCTTTTAGAGTTGGAGTCCTAGGCTCATGCCTGTAATCCCAGTGCTTTGGGAGGTCAAGGTGATCAGATCACCTGAGGTCAGGAGTTCAAGACCAGCCTGGCCAACATGGTGAAACCCCGTCTCTACTAAAAATACAAAAA